AACTGAGACGAGGACGTTCTCATTCGACCACTTCTTGTTACCGGCTGCTCACCGCTTAGGAGTTTTACCGCCCCCTACCGTATAAGATGACGTACTGATATAGCCGGAGGCGCAAAACGTTCTGTTTACAAGCAGTACGTCATCTTATACGGTAGGGGGCGGTAAAACTCCTAAGCGGTGAGCAGCCGGTAACAAAAAGTAGTCGAAGAAGAACGGTCTCGTCTCAGTTCTCGCGCATGCGCCCATAAGGAAGTAATGGAAAGTCGAATAAAGTCGTTATTTACGTTTTTTTTTCGCACAAAAAGTAGTCTCGTCGCTTGATAAAGTTATAGTTGAGCCACTGTAGGCACATGGGATATTTAAACCTTTTCTTTTAATGACTTTCTGGGCCGTCAAGAGGCAGTCCCTCAGGCTGTCTATGGAAAAGTGATCCAGCCCTCAGATTCAATCAAAAATATCTTTATTTGTGTTCCGAAGATGAACGAAGGTTTTACGGGGTTGGTACAGCATGGGGGTGAGTAATTAATGACTTAATTTTCATTTTTGGGTGAACTAACCCTTTAAACGTACGTAGGAGAGAGTGAACACAAAAAAGTTTGCTGGAGTCCCATTAAAAGTTGGTCAAAATTTGTCCCACCAAGATTGTTATGCATTTTAAATAACTAATTTCCTCCGCCTTCAGGCCCATCCACACCAAAAACAATATCCATAATGATAATGATAAAGATATAGTTCTAAAAAACATAAAAAAAAAAGGTTTATCGTCTTGTTATTACCACTAACAAGGCTCAAAATAGCCCCACACTAACACCTTGTTAGTGAGCCTTGTTAGTGGTAATAACAAGCGATCTTTATTTGTCGTTACTCTATGCCCCATATACTAGCGTTATAGGCTAAACTGTTTTTATAGATAAAACTATTTACATTCGCAATCATGAAAACAAATCTCAGATAACGGTTGACTAGGTAACAATGTGTAATTAGACCAAAGGTTCATTTTGTGCCGGAGTTGTCCTTTAAAGCTACACAAGTTCTTTAGTCAAGAGCAGTGTGTAATTTTCTCTGTTCCCTTTGTTATTTCATTAACTTTACTGACAGAACGCTTTATTGGTAGCTGGCCCTTTAAGAGCAGCCACTGTGGACAAAGACGCGGATCCCACGCGCGCCTCATTCTCTCACGAGTCACAACTCTTAATGTCCACCATAAGACTGCTCTTATGTTATGAAGATTCTCGACAAATGACATTTTGACTTAATTGTGTGTGTTGTTCATGTTTGTTCAAGCGCGAAAGAGAACTTCTGGCGCGCGGTCTGTGCATGCGCATTCAAATCGGTAAAATTAAATCGGTAAAATAGACGTAACGAGTGGCACATAACGTGAAGTAACATGGCATTTTATTTTGTTTGAAATTTAACTTGTTTGGTCGGACAACTAATTTTCTCTTCTACTTGTCCTACAAAAAAATCCACTTGTCCCAGACAAGCCTTAATGTCGAGCCCTGAACCCCCCCCCCTTTAATAGTATAGCCAATATAGGTTCGCCATTTCAATAAATAGTAAAATAATCCTATTTTTTAAAAGTTTCACCTAAACCTTATGTTATAATAAGAAATACATCAACACAGGGGAAAGAAAGGAGGCTCAGTGCTATTTCTCGGGGTCTTAGAGTCAATGCCAATAGAGGGCAGTCATCAGTGCTTTGGATGGATGGACGGATGGATGGGAATTCGTTATCATGTTGGAGACCCCAGCTTAATTATAGATTTCATTCATATTTCATTCTGCTGCCACATGTCTGACTCATAATTTCAGATGTCTAATAACAGCAACAGCAGCCAAACTGATTCAGGGACGCCCTGAGAAGCAGTCAAATGAAACCAGAACTGACACGCCGACGTCCATAGGGCTGTCAACATCGACACCGTCCTCCTGACTTCATGGATCTGCAATGCTTAAACCCCAGAGATGTTGCTGAGCAATGATATGAGAACTGTGCGGAGAAGGTTGAGATTACAAACTGTTAAATCCCCCCTGTGGTGAAAATCAGGCTTCTAATGCTGTTTGTGGCGTTTCCAATATGCTTTAAGACAATCCATGTGCAAATTCATAAGTCAACTCAGTAGCCTAATTGCTGAGTATTTTCTCCTTAAAACTGCAGTGTAAAAAAAAAAAAAGTTTCAAAATCGCGGTTTAAAAAATCGCTTGCGTGTTTATTATGTTAGTAAGAGGAAAGAAATTTATCTCTCATTACATATTCATCTAAACGTCATCTAGACTATGCGTCTAAATGACACAAACTACCTTGTAACCCATCAGGTCAACATGCGATCGGCAAGGAGTGGATCTCTGAGCTGGTGTGAGTGAGTGGAGGCGGGGCTAATTTGCATATTCATAGAACCACATATTACTAAATGAGGCAAGAGTTTAGAGTTACATTCAAGCTATTTTAAGGCATGAAGAAATTTGTTTTCAAGGAAAAAACGTTTCAAATATGTCAAAATAAATTTTGGTGATCAAAGATGAGTTTTAAAGGTCCCGTATTATCCCGTATAATAAGTCTCTGATGTCCCCAGAATGTGTATGTGAAGTTTCAGCTCAAAATACCCAACAAATCATTTTTAAAGCATGTTTAAATTGTCATTTTTGGGGGGCTCAGAAAAACGCACTGTTTTAGTGTGTGCCCTTTAAATGCAAATAAGCGGCAACTGCCGGCACAGGGGGCGGAGCTTCATGAGCTCGCGCTCAGTCTCTCAGGACAATTTTATCTCACGGAATGATGATAATATCAGAAACTCTCAGTAACGGTGTTCATTACGAGTCGGACAATAATGCCTACAGAGTCAGAGTGCTGTATAGGTATAGTTTAGTAGTTTAATAACGGTTATTATAACGTATTTGTCATCTGCTTGTATGTATCCATTATGTATTAATAGCCTACAAGTCTGCTGTTTCGGACCAGGTCCGAATGATGATCAAACATGCACTGATGAACCATTTAAATGTTTATATTTCATATAATCTTCTTATTATAAAAATAAATAAGAGTGTTATTTAAGTGTTTGTATAGCTACAAAACAGTTCATTATTACCTTCATATTAGGCTAATGAAGCCTAGTAGGCTACAACTAGACTCCCATAGTTTACAGCATTAGTTAAGACATTTGATTTCCTTGAGAAAATGTGCCATTTATTGTAACTGATATCCAAAATAATCAATATTGAATCGAAATCGAATCGAATTGTGAAATTTGTGTCAATACCCAGCCCTAATATATATATATATATATATATATATATATATATATATATGTGTGTGTAAATAATATATAATATATTAGGGCTGGGTAATAAATATCGATTTCTCGATATTAATCGATTCTCATTTTTGCGAACAAATATCGATTCTTAAATTTCAAGAATCGATTAGTCATCCTGTTTCATTTGAATGAATGGGACATTGTATCGCGGCTGCGCGCATCCAAAAAAAATCGCAATAATCTTTGTCCTTTGTTACTATTGATATGAAACAAAGTCTCAATTTTCAAATTAGGTCCATTTCCTTTAGAAATTCAAAAACATAAATAGCGTTTTGGCGCTGTGGCGTGAGATCGCTCTGGCGCAGCTCAAGAGAAGCAGCTGATCTCTCTTCCGGCTTAATAATACCAGTCACAGCGCCAAATAAACATGAATGAGCATCTGAAAGTGTGTTAAAGATAGAGTACAACTTATCGAAATCTGTATCATGTCACATTGATTCGCTCAATCAGCGTTTCAACCGTGGAAAGACGTCAACAGCTTGTAATCAATGTCATGTATCGTCATATTTACCTCAGAAAACCCACATCAACTCGTTAGTCAGCTAGAAAAAATAACTCTAGAGAGGAGCATTTTGCTAAATATATACACCATATTACATATAATCTTAATGTTCTTCAATATTTAATGCATATTTGAATAAATCCGGAAAGTTTTTTTTTATAACAGCCACAATTTAAATGTTTATATTTCATATAATCTTATTATTATAAAAAAAAATAAAAGTGTAATTAGGCTAATGAAGCCTAGTAGGCTACAACTAGACTCCCATAGTTTACAGCATTAGTTAAGAGATTTGATTCCCTTGAGAAAATTTGCCATTTATTGTAACTGATATCCAAAATAATCAATATTGAATCGAAATCGAATTGCAAGCTAGTGAATCGAAATCGAATCGAATTGTGAAATTTGTGTCAATACCCAGCCCTATAATATATATATGTAAATGTTCCTTCAATAAAAGAGCTTATTTATCAGAGACAATTCATTCCAATCTAAGTAATATGCACAGTCATGGTTATCACCTAAAGCATGGGAGCGATAGCAAGCAATCAAGAGCCATCTTGATTACAGGGACTTCAAATAAATGTTATCACCTTAACATTTGACCATTCTACATTGAAGTGATGTACATTGTGTTTCACACTTTAGTTGTGATGATGAATGATGTCACCAGTTAAGCATGAGAGTTCTGCCAGTCCTGTTCTCTCTAATGCAAGTTAAATGATTGGATTATCATCAAGATGTGAAAGAGACTGTTTTCCTGATGAGATCAGGACTGGAAAATAGGCTGACTCCTGTACGTCATTGCTGAGGGTGAAGACAAATGGAATGTTCGAGCTGAGATTATTTCGAGGTTCATTCTGAACCCAAGGATCTTCGTGTACCTTGCCACTGCTATGTAATAAACTTAATTTCTGAGATCTTTAACGTCCACTTCATTTTTTTCTTACAGCTATAATTTAAACTCCATTTCTGGACTGCATTCCACAATTCTGTCCACTTTTTCTGCATCAAGGAAATCATATTTGCAAGCACGATTTCAAATGTAGCATTCAGAAACGTCAGAACACAATTCATGTGTTGCAAAGAGTATATTTTGGACTTTGCTCTGCATATGTACTATTATGTGTTGCCCAAACATTCATACAGTCAAGCCATAAAGCCATAAAACAGCATCTTACCCAGATCAGTATTAGGGCCGGCCAGAACCTGTCTGAACTTGTCGAGTCTCGACGCCTCTCTCTCGGTCATGGCGGGAGTCCCGGATGTGTTCTGATCTGCCATGCGGGCCACCAGTGGAATCGTGGGTCTGTGCGGGAGTGACTGCTGTCTGTGTAGTGATGCCTGTTCAACGCCCACTTCTGAAGAGAAAACACATTCGATTTCTGTTTTAATTTCAATTTAGGGAGTCATTGCATACGATTCTCAATGTACATTCTTCAGAAACAGCACAGGGGCCGATCATTTGTGAGTTAAATCTGGCATATCTACATTTTTGGAAGCAAGCGCACTTTAATCCTATTAGATGAATTTCAGGGAAGGCTGGCTGAGAAGATGCAGTACTTACTGTAATTAATACTGTATAAAATATTAAAAACACTTCCCTGCACACCAGTTTGCTCATCGATAGTAAGCATTTAAAAACAAAAAAACGTGCTTTATTTAATAAAACGGAATTGAAATTGAACAGCTCATAAGTGTGAGTATGCAACCCTTCTGTAGTTTAAATACAAACGTCAAGACTTTGTTCAAGTTGAATGTGTTCTCATTTCATAAACAAGTTTATTGATTATTTTTATTTTATTTTAAACTATTTTTAAAAACTACATCAACTTTGGTTTTCATGTTTTCAGCTTTGATTTAATTCATTTTCGTTTAATCATTTTTGTTTTGTCATTTTGTTCTTTTGATTTTTCGCACATTTACACTATTGATTATTTTGCATAAATAAAGTTTAGTCCCAGAGACACCAGTCTATATGCGGGTCATTGTTTTTAACTCAGGTAAAATATATACATTACACACACACAAACATGCACTTTATTCTGTCACTTTATTCTCAATTAATGGGTCAGAATAAGGGTACATTCTATGGTACAAGTTGCTATTTTGGCAGTGAATCACAATGCATTGGTGAATTGATTTTGTCCTAATGCTTCATAATCATGCTGTCCAAACACTGTAAAATGTGATTGTATGCTTGTTAGAGGCATTAAATAGATGACTTTGAGATATCATTCTTGCATTAAGCATCATAACATCTTCAACGTTTACAGATGTCCGTGTTATCCCTGCAGAAATTAGACGGTGCGTGACGGCTGCTGACAGTGTCAACACAAGGTACTATTAAAATAGAGGCAGAACATGTCAACAGGAAGTCCATTATCACAGTCATCCATCGCCACTCTGGCTGGCAAAACAAAGGACTGGCAGAACTGTCTGTCAGTGCAGTACTGGTGGAAGCACACAGTCCCTGTCTGATGTAGTCAAATACACAAAAGACTTTGTTCTGCACTCAGAGGTTAAGAAATTTTGCAATTCCCTAGGTTGGTGAAAAATGATAATTTGGCAATTCTGAAATAATCGCAATTGAGAGTTCTAAAGTCAGAATTGTGTGATATACACTCACCTGAAGGATTATTAGGAACACCATACTAATACTGTGTTTCACCTTCAGAACTGCCTTAATTCTACGTGGCATTGATTCAACAAGGTGCTGAAAGCATTCTTTAGAAATGTTGGCCCATATTGATAGGATAGCATCTTGCAGTTGATGGAGATTTGTGGGATCCACATCCAGGGCAAGTAGCTCTCGTTCCACCACATCCCCAAGATGCTCTATTGGGTTGAGATCTGGTGACTGTGGGGGCCATTTTAGTACAGTCAACTCATTGTCATGTTCAAGAAACCAATATGAAATGATTTGAGCTTTGTGACATGGTGCATTATCCTGCTGGAAGTAGCCATGATGGGTACATGGTGGCCATAAAGGGATGGACATGGTCAGAAACAATACTCAGGTTGGCTGTGGCATTTAAACGATGACTAATTGGCACTAAGGGACCTAAAGTGTGCCAAGAAAACATCCCCCACACCATTACACCACCACCACCAGCCAGCACAGTGGTAACAAGGCATGATGGATCCATGTTCTCATTCTGTTTACGCCAAATTCTGACTCTACCATCTGAATGTCTCAACAGAAATCGAGACTCATCAAACCAGGCAACATTTTTCCAGTCTTCAAATGTCCAATGTTGGTGAGCTCTTGCAAATTGTAGCCTCTTTTTCCTATTTGTAGTGGAGATGAGTGGTACCTGGTGGGGTCTTCTGCTGTTGTAGCCCATTCGCCTCAAGGTTGTGCGTGTTGTGGCTTCACAAATGCTTTGCTGCATACCTCGGTTGTAACGAGTGATTATTTCAGTCAAAGTTGCTCTTCTATCAGCTTGAATGAGTCGGCCCATTCTCCTCTGACCTCTAGCATCAACAAGGCATTTTCGCCCACAGGACTGCCGCACACTGGATGTTTTTTCCCTTTTCACACCATTCTTTGTAAACCCTAGAAATGGTTGTGCGTGAAAATCCCAGTAACTGAGCAGATTGTGAAATACTCAGACCGGCCCGTCTGGCACCAACAACCATGCCACGCTCAAAATTCTGACATTCAGTTTGGAGTTCAGGAGATTGTCTTGACCAGGACCACACCCCTAAATGCATTGAAGCAACTGCCATGTGATTGGTTGATTAGATAATGAGAAATTGAACAGGTGTTCCTAATAATCCTTTAGGTTTAAGTCATAAGTGTGTTCTAACCTCAGAATTGCGTTATATAAAGTCGCAATTGAGAGCTATAAAGTCAGAATTGCATGATATAAAGTCGAAATTCTGGCATCTTTGTCTTTATAAAATGCAATTTGGAGATATAAAGTCAGAATTGAATGATATAAAGTCCCAATTGCGTGTTACAGAATTGCGAGACAAACTTTCCTTAGAACTGGACTTTTTTTTCCTTGCAATTGTGATTTTTTTATCTCGCAATTCTGACTTCATGACCTGCAATTGCAATAAAAAAGTCAGAATTGTGAATTTATATCTGACAATTCTAACTTTTTTTTAATCGCAATTGCGACTTTATTTCTCGCAATTCTGACTCTGATGTAAATTCGCAATTTTGAGACAAAAAGTCGCAATTATTTTTTAAAATGTTTTATTATGTGGCGGAAACGAGCTAACATGCTGAACACAGCCAATCGAAGTTCTCTCAGAGTTGCCAACGGATGCCGATTCAACGTGCTCAATTGTCCAAAAGAAAAACGAAACAACTGGGTCCGACAAGTGCAGATGCTGGGGAACACACCGCAAAACTGGGCTAGCCGATGCTCAGCGACAGGGCCTTCAAGAAATTAACCTCAAAAAAGTTGAATTCTTGGACAACACCGGGACCAATAGCAGATCAAAAGCATTTAACAGCCATTGCAAAGTATTCTGGAAAGTTCACGCCGGTGAGCTGTTACACAGAAACCAAGCCCAGACACGACATGTTGTTTTCGCCAGATTCTTTTTACAAAACGCCGTTGTGTTCAATTGAGGAACATCGTTTTTAGGCCTTCAGTGTCATGAAGATGTGGGACTCTAATAGCATTAAAATAAAGATGCTTTTCACTCAGTTTTCTATGCTTTAGAAGCATCAGAGAGAAAGTCTGAGTGACAGGTCAGTGGGAAAACACTGTATATTAACATAAAGCTCAGAGGCAAACAAAACAATTGATTGACATTTCACTGACTCCAATTTGCCCGTTACAGACTCTCAGTTAATTACCAGAAGTTAAAATAAAAACCGACTTAATGAAGGTCGTGCTAATTAGCAAGGAAGAGGAAGAGGAGAAAAAGAAATGCTAGAGTTTAGAAACAGGTCACAGGTCTAAAATCTAGATGACAACACAGCATTGGAAACAATGATAATCAAGACTAATGTATTCTTTTTTTGTTGTTGGTTTGCTTGTTTTTTATGCATGTCTCTTTCATTGTAATATAATTTTATCATCTACCAGGGGGAAATGATAACTCCAATCATTTGGAAAGGCAATAGCACATCTTTTCAACAAGCTTTAAAATGTATGAAATTTATAAAGCACAAAGGTGCACCAGAAACCTGAATACTGCATAAGAATTATGATTAACATAGTATTATTTATGTACTATTATAGTATGTATTAATATTTAGAATGAACTTAATTCTTTATATTTTCTATTAAAGATGTTATTATTTCTATTTACCTTTATTATTTTTATTTTTTCCGTTTCATTTTCCATAGTTAAACTATTTTAGTTTAGAATTTCGATTTATGTTTACATTTAATATCTAATAAAAAGGTATATTTTGCTTTATTAAATTGACCAAAAAAACACTCTTATTTGTTTAACAAAGTGATTAACAAAACAAGCAAAGGATTAACGTCAGAGAGACTGACCTTTAGGCGAGCCGACAGGAGCTTCACTGTGTGACTTCACCAGTCTGTTGTCACTGATTGGAAGAGCCTCTGAACCGAAAGACAGATCTGTTGTCGTCTCTGCGCCCTCCTCTCTCTCCTCCTCCTCTTCTTCTTCTTCTTCCGGCTCTTCCTCGTGCGCTTCCTCCCCGTCTTTCCCATCAGGCTCAGTCATGCTATCAATCTGCTGCTGTCTTCTTTCCTGCAGCTTGCTGTGGTTTTCTATCACCTTATTGGCTGTCTCCATGACAACCTCGATGTTGAGATTTTGGGCTGCCATGGCGAGAAGTTCATCATCATCATCTCCCACATCCCAGGCGTCACTGGTGATGCTCTCGAACTCTTGGAAGGTGGTGGCTTTCTTTGGTTTTCCTGGCGTGGTGGAAGGCGGAGGCTTGTTTCCTGCTTTTATCAGACTGCAAATAAATAATAGATGACACTTATGTTGATACAATATAAATCAAACTCACACAGAACGCTGGTGTCCCGCGTATAATGGTTAATAATATCCCTGCATGTGAGGAAAGACAACTCATAAAGAACAGGGATATTGTTCTGGTTTCTCTGACTCCCATTGGTAGTTGCTACATCGCTGCTCACCAACAAAAAATAACATTTTTCTCAATGTTGGTGAATGACTAGCTTATGTTGCCCCAATTTGCCAACTCTCGTTAAAATCCGAAGACTTCTGTAAACTTTATCACCTCAGCTGTCAGAGCAAATTGCTGTCATCATTTACTCCCCCTCAAGTTGCTCTAAACCTGTATGCTTTTCTGTTACCACTTTAGAATATGAATACAGTAACAAAGCAGCACTAATAGTATATTGTAGTTAATACATCACTAGACTATCCCCTGGTTATCCCCGAACTAAAATGAATGTCTGAGCCGTTTCAACAGAAAGTAACTTGCACTGATGTAACATAAAATATCAAGATGCACATCGGTAATGTTTTTTCTAAGGGGGTGTTTATAAAAGCTACTTACATATCTTCAATGAACTAAGAGATAATCCTGGCTTAATCTAAGCGTTATCTGTGAAACCAGGCCATTCACGGTCACTGAAAATAATAAAGTGTTAATGTTTAATTAGCTCATATGTAAGGAGTTAGATGATGCTTTGTTAAAGGTGCAGTCTGTAAAAATGACAGCTAGTAAATATGCTCTCGCCGAGTTTTAGCCGAGTTTTAATATGCTCTCGTTCATAGAGATTTTTAGATTTTAGGTTGGGTAGAAGCGTTTTTTTTTTTTTTTTTAATTATTATTATTATTATGAAAACTATGGAAATTGCGGCCCCAAATATAAATATTCTTGAGCCACTTTTGGGTATTTTGGAGGACAGAGTCAGAAAACCTTTTCCTCCTCCAGCATCACATAGTGACCTGACCACTATTCTGGAAGAGGAAAGCTCAAAATCTCAAGGACTTGAATTGATGCGGTATAGCAACTAAAGGAGTCTCTACACCATAAAAATAAATAATAAAGGATTGTGGTCTAAAAGTAGGTGTTTTGGTTTAATTGTCTGACCCCATATAGGTATAGACAAATAGACAGATGGGTAGATAGATAGATGGATGGATATATGGGTTGGCTGGCTGGCTGGATGGATGGATGGATATATGGGTTGGATGGATGAATGGATGGATAGAAATCAAAACACACAAAAAAAGCTTGATTTTGCGTACGCAGAACAGTTCTCAGATTTATAAAACCAAGCGTACGCCAAAACCTGTAATATATAGTGTATAGTTGTTGAATTTTACTCTTTCACTCTGAAATACATGAAACTAAGAAAGTAAAATAGGTTGCAAAACCAGCACTGACTTAAAAAATGAAAGTGAAAGCAAAAGCATCAAAAAGATCCTCTTATATCTTTAAATATGCCAAATATATACACACATTTTCCTATAAATATATAGCCAAGCTGTACTTACTTGGCATGTAGGAGAGGGTCAAAGGGAGGATGTTGGGCTCCATAAACATGCTGGATACTGTGAGAAAAGTAAAAAAGAAAGAAAGCGTTACAAAGCGCGTTTATAAAAAAAATCTGTCTCTATGTTTAACTCCCTCCTTTATTTATATGATATGAAAACTGGTTTGACAAGTCAAGGTTCAAGATGTGAGCAATTCTTGATTAAAAAAACACAAGGCTTCATTAAAAAGAGTTATTATATATATTTTTCACATGTATATATATATATATATATATATATATATATATATATATATATACGATGTTATAACATTTGAGGAAGTTGCTGTCATCACCAACACAACTGTACCACTCTACCATGTAAATAGCATAGTATTTGAATACAGTACCATGGTATATATATCAATATACTACTATTAACGTATTATTACAATCATTGTAGCAATCTGTAAGTTTCAAAAGAGGGGCCATGCAGCACATAGCTAACAGGCTAATATATGCTTTTAGGAACTAAACTAAAGCTTAAATCAGTATTTAAAATATTACCACCATACGCATTGATCGGATGTCAGTGCTAGAAGAATATAATCATAATCAATATGAACTTAATACATCACTGAGACCAATACAAACAATGATGTGTACAGCTAGCACACATTACCTTTTAAGACAGCCTTTCAAATGGTAAGATTTTGATGACACACGTTATTCTAAATATTTGGAACTCCTCTGGTGAGATCTAGCACTGACAGATACTGTTCGATTAGTTGAACCCATAACTGAACACATATAACTCTACACACATAGCTAACACAGAGACATTAGCATGAACACGTCACTCACTTCCCAGGAACCTTGGCTGTGTTTCTCTTCCAGAACTGTTTTTTGTTGCCGTCGGCTGACATCTTTTGGCTTCAGAGTATTCGCTCATAAATTAATTTAGAGAAATATGCTGATAAGTTGTGCAAATTGTGCACGAAGAGTTTATTTACACCTCAATTTCTCTTCGGAAACTCAGAGAGCCGCCATGTTGGTACCACCCATTGCACATAAGCGCAGCTGTGATTGGCTAAGGGGTGTCATGAGTGGCTGCTGAACCGCCAATCACAAGTGGAAATGTAGTTCCCTCTCAGTTCCTTCACGAGCTAAACTAAATGTCTAAAATTATTTGAGACAAAAACATTAGCCAAAGAAAAAACCTTTGAATGCTAAAAAATAAGAAATTAAATAGAGTATTGGATAACAATTTCATAATTTATTGTTTGGGTCAAACTGAAAGTGTTCTCCATATGATGAAAGTGAAAGAGTAAAAAAACAGAAACAAACAAATACATAAAACGTGGCATTAAATGTACCGTAAGTAGTACAATATATTTAGAACGATTATGCAAAAAAAATATATATTTTTAATCTGTTTCTTTGTTGCTAGTCACAATCTGGAGTACACTAGAAACCACATCATGTCACTACATGAGAGAAAGGAGAATCAAAACTTTGCTCCTTCATGTCAATGACTTTATTAATGTATGTCAATCACCCACATCGCCCCTCCTTACAATGGGATTATGAATGACGCATGTCTCTAAACTCCTCCCACTTTATCAGGAAAGAGAAAACCGCTATGTAGCCAAACTGCTCAGGAGAAAACGAACACCATTATAGCGATTGTAGCATTTTTTTAAAAAATGTAAAGCGTCGGCTGGTATATTATAAACCCATTTTTATGATGAAACTGAGATAACTAACGTGTTTGTGTTGTTAAGAGCAGAAATGGAGAAGCAGCCGCGTCTGTTGTGTTCTGAGCTGTGTGTTCAACGCAGACCATACGAGGTCACATTAAACTGCGCGATTCTCGCGTGGAAAGACGTACAATTCGGCCAAAAACACACCGGACGCGCCATATATGGAGCTGGCAAAGCTGGTGAGTTACATATGTAATACAATAATAACACTGTAACAGATATGCAATGCGGCGTCTTCGCTGCTGTTGTTTGCTCTAGTGGCATGTGTCTCAAAGCAAACAGAGCTGCCTACCTAGTAGACCGCAGTTTAGGGCATCTTACGGGGCAGAGAATTAAAGTAGCCAGCATGTTGGCCCAGCTGACTGTGATGCCCCAAATGATGCTGGGTGCTATGGTTGTTGTGGAAAAGTTTAGAGAAAAACGTGTTAGAAATATGAATGGCCAAAAACGCTGGAAACTAAATATTGCTGCTGCTGATTGGAAGATATCTGTATGCCCTTTTTTTTTTTTTTTTTTTTTTAGAAAAGTAATGCGTTACGTTACTTTTGCGCTACTTTTTTCCCCTGGGCTTGTTTTTGAGGGGTTTTTTTTTAACAAAAAAAGTTGTATTTTGGGGCAAATATAAAGACCCTTTCACACTTAAAGTGAAATTTAGGCTTTTAGGCAGAAGGAAATGTAAATTTCCAAGTGTAAAGTAGAGGATTCAAGCAAACCTTTCAGCTGCTGCTGGAGGCAGGAGAAAAAATGCTTAACACAACCAGGAATCGTGTTGCCTGACATTTATGTTTGCCTGATTTCGACATCGGGGAAATAAATGCAATATAGCCCTAAACATAAAGCAAATTTGCCTGTGAACGCTTTATATAAATACAATATAGGTAGGTCTAAATCCGAGTGATCACTTATATCAGTGTTCTAGCCCTAAAACGTTATCGTTTTTTGTTTTTTTTTTATCATCGTTGGTCAGTGATTATTAAAAAAACATCCAATAATGCAGAATATGCAATGATAAATATTTAATTGATGAGTTGTTAATATATATATAACAATACAAAATATATGGGTATGGTTTTACAGCTAAATTCAGCATATTGACACAAAATGATAACTGTAAATCTACCTTTTGCTGACTGGAGTCCAGTTGTTTCGATCCATTTGCTCCTCTTTCTATAGCAGTCTGTAAAAATATACCTCAGATTTTTTTTGTTTTTTGTCAAATCTAGTGGTACAGTCAATCGCAAAGCTCTTTCCCACTTTATATGTGTTGTTTGTTTTTCGCGGCATTCGCACTAAAAACAAATACAGCCGCTCAGTCTTTTCGCCACTCACTGTGAGTAACTGCAGGCACTTTAGGCGACGATGACGTCACGCGCATACCCTCTATTGGAGGTTTGCATAGTATTCTGATTCTGCATTTCACTGATTTTATTCATTTTGGGGAATATTGAATCTTTTTATGCAAGTGAAATGATTAAATGCACTAGGGATGGGCAACGATTAATCGCGATTAATCACATCCAAAATAAAAGTTTGTGTTTACATAATATATGTGTGTGTGGTGTGCATAATTAATTTGTATATATAAATACCCACACATGCATGTATACATTTAAGAAAAATGTGTAATTAATATATCAAATATTTATATTTATATATAATATTAATGATCTATAAATATATATAAAGTATATACATGCAAATATTTCTTAAATATATATTAACACACGACCTAACGTGCTGTCTACAAGGTAGGCTGTTTAGTTGGTTTGAATTGCAGCCTCAGTAATCAAGGCTCTTGAAATACATTTTTTGAGTCTAGTTTCTGGACAGTAATATGAACTGTGATGAACATGTATGTTAGTTGAGGCACCCACACACTTCAAGATAATCAGGCTGATTGTAGGCCAAATCCTCCCCGTCTGACAATCCCAGTTAAAGTCCTGATTATCTTGATGGTTCTACAGATTGTCTTATCAGATTTTCCTGTGTTGTGAGGTGTGTTGTTAAGAGTGAGAGAATCTGCTAGGAATAATATCGGGCCTGCACATGGAACGAAACGATACATAATCAGAAAGCGAGCTGACGGAGGCGTAACACGACTGCATCCAAACCTTGCAAATTCTCTGTAAAAAGCAGCCCTGACACCATTGTCGCCATGTTCTCTTGCTCATCGCTCGCCATGTTTAGTCTCAGTTGATCATGTGAGATTTTGGGAGATTTGGAATATATGGAATCTGTTGGTGTTTTTTTTTTTTTTTTTTTTTTTTTTTTTTTTTTTATCTTTTAAATATCGTTAAGCACTCTTAATATAAAAGTTGTCTTTCCATACACTCAATGGCTGGTAATAACATCAGATTCAGTAACAGTGAAGTGGTGTATATTGAGTTCTCAGACTGTGCTGGAAGGTCAGAGGAGGTTACTGATATGGAGGAATTGGATTGTGTTTTCTCCTGTCTGCACACACACACACACACACACACACACTCTCTCATTTCTGCTGAGTTATGCCTGGGATTGGTAATGAATGTTAAGAGTTCTGTCACGAATTGTCATATTTTAACCCAGGTTTTGGGTTGTTAATCATCATTTCACTCTCATTCAACATGTATACATATTTACTGGTTACAAAATCTTAGACCTTTTCAGAAGAACAAGATGGTCAAAAGAGTGAGCACAAATTATACCCTTCACAAAATACACAACCTTTCCAGATTACTTTGTAAAATGTCAATCAGTTAAAGTTTAAAACCATTTGATACAAAAAGCTAAGATGTGCTGCAGTTCACCTTCTGCTCTTAGCAAATAAAATGAATAAAGTTTGTGACGTTCTTGTTTCCAAACCTCGTTTTGCTGATTTTATACAACATAAATATATTGTATATGTATTGAAACAAATTTCTATAGTCTAGAATAAACCTGGCGACTGAAAAAAAAGTTGAGTGTGGTCTATGCAAACAGTGAACCTCATTCAAATGGTGTTTTTTATTTGATTGTGCATTTTCAAATGTAATACCTAAGTGGCAGATGTGCGGTGGCCGAGAGTGATGCAACTGCAGCAAACACATGCAAATTGAAAAAAAAATTGTGCAAACAGAAAAAAAAAAAAACGCATGCAAATCGCAACGCAACATCCTCAGTTTCACAACATGTGTGCTCCAAATATGAAACGCGTTGCAAAAGTTCACAACACAACCAAATACAGAAAAGCGCTGCAAATAGGGAGCCTAAAGTCCCGCCCCTCCGCTTCCGGCTCATGGGACCTTATTTCGGAAAAAAAATATGTATGGTAGTCAATGGCGAGAGATAACTTATCTTTTTATTCCGTCTGAACTGTGCCCTCAATTACACATATGATGTTTGTCAATTTAAAAGATAATTCCGAAAGTCAAAAATGTCGCAGTTTGTCATAAAACAGAAGAGTAATATTTAGTTATATGTGAAAATCGCTCTATGAACTACATCTCCTGGGAAGCGAAACAACGAGCGAGATCCGTTAAACGTGTGTGTGCAGTCTGGTACAAAACACTCAGGCATTACGGCGTAACGTTACGATTATAACGTAAGACTATAGAAACAATGACCCGACAAAAGCCTTAGTAAAGTTAGCTTCATTCATTGAGAGAAAATGTGCGCCTTTGGGGTTTGTAGTCTTTGTAATTACGTATTTTTACAGTCTTATACCTCAATGGTTTTACATCAAACTGCGACTTTCTTTACTTTAAAATGTATCTTTTAAATTGACAAACCTCATAGGTGTAATTCAGGGCACAATTCAAACGAGATCAAAATATTTGTTGTCTCTCGCCATTGACTACCGTTTCCGAAATAACGTCCCATGCCATGGTGTTCGACCGGAAGGCTCTCTAACACCGACCACAACGGAAATGTTTCCAGGGGAGCCAATTAAGTGACGAACCCGGCTGGGGTGTGTTACTGAAGTGAGCTTCCCTATGCCTGGCTACTCCCTTCGAAGGGCAGACGACAGAGCCCTTAAAGTGGGACTTTGGAGTGAGCAGGGCTGTAGTGTGCCATTTGCGCATTTGATAAAGGAGCAACGAAAGAACGTAATTCCTCATTATTTTCACCTGGGATGTTCCCATGACAACGCAGCGTGGTGTCCATCAGCTAAATTGCTGTTCTTACCACAGAAATATAATGCTGTTAACCTAACGGTTGCAAATACATTTTTATTTTTACTTTACAAAAAAGCTTTCAAAATATGCATGTATGTGTGTCTCAACCTTAAAACTTTGGACCCTAACATTTCTTATGAAACTATTCTGTATGAAAACATAACATGAAACAGTACAGTGTAACTGATGAAAGA